TGGTGAACTCTGACTCCTATAGATACATTTATCATCTGGATGCAGATGACTTCCAAATCTATTTATCTAATCCTATTTTCTGTCTTGAACTCTAGCCCTACATCACCAACTACATTCTTGTAGGCACCTCAAACTTAACATATTTAAAATGGAAATCATCATTTTTCTTTGTAAACACACCCCTCCCTCAAACCATTTCTTGTTTGAAAACATCACCATCCTTCCAGGCAAACCGTGTTTACAACCTTTGAATCAGAGGTTTGTAGATTAAGTATTGGAAAGAACCCTAAGAGACCCTGGAGTCCAAACCCCTCTGCCCTCCTAGTTGTTTAGTTGTTTTCAGTTATGTCTCATTCTTTGTGAACCCATTCAGAGGTTTTCTTGGCAAAGATATTGAAGTAGTTTGCCATTTCTTTCTCTAGCTCATTTTACAGATGAGGAACAGAGGCAAGCAGCTTTAAGTGATGTGCCCAGGATCACATAGTTAGGATCCATTTTAAAGTTATTATGGAACATGATATAAAATGTTGATCTAAGCCTGCCTTATGCCAGACTGTCTTCTAATTTTACCAGCATTTTTTTTTTTATCAAATAAGGAGTTTTCCCCTAATGTACGTTTTCTGCTTTATTGAACACTGGGTTATTGTATCCCGTTGTTTCTGATTAACCCTTGTCTGGTCTGTTTCATTGATCTACTTCTCTATCTTTCAGCCAATACCAAATAGTTTTCATTCCTGCTGATTTATATTTCAAGATTTGGAAGCGTGATTTCCTCCTCCATTTCTACCCTTTCCCCCAATATTTATCTTGATATACTAGATTTTTTTGTTTTTCCAAGTTGATTGGTATAGTATTAAAACTGTAAATTAATTTTGATAGTATTTTCATTTTGTCTTATATTGGTAAATCCAGCCACAAGCATTGGATATTACTTCATGTATTTAAATTGTTCTTATTTTGTTAAGAAGCACTTTATAATTGAATCTATCAAAAATTTCATATGCTTTGTTAGATTAATTCCCAAATATTTTATGAATGCTGTAGTTATTTTGAATGGGATTTACCTTTTTATTATTGTCTCTTGGATTTTGTTATTATTATCTAGAAATGTTGCTGATTTTTGTGGGTCTACTTTGTAGCCTAAAACTTTGCTGAAGCTATTAATAGGTCATAGTATCTTTGCTGATTCCTTAGGATTTAACAAAAATTTTTTTAATATAAATTTATTTATTTGTAGTTTTCAACATTCATTTCAGCAAGTTTTTGAGTTCCAAATTTTCACCCCTCCTCCCCTCCCCCCACCCCAAGATGGCATGCATTCTGAATATCCCTTCCCCTAGTCTGTCCTCTTTTCTTTCTCTCCCCCCTTCCCCTTCTATTTTCCTGTAGGGCAGGATAGACTTCTGTACCCCATTTCCTGTATTTCTTATTTCCCGGTAGCATACGAAAACATTTTTTTTAAACATATATTTTTAAAACTTTAGGTTTCAAATTTTCTGCCTTCCTCCTTCCCCACCCACCCTCATTGAAAAGGCAAGCAACTCAATATAGGTTGTACATGTGCAGTTATGCAAAACACTTCCATATTAGACATATGAAAAACTAACTCTATTTCCCGTAATCCTATTCTGCCCTCCCATTTATTCTATTCTTTCTTTTGACCCTGTCCTCCTCAGAAGTATTTACTTCTGATTACCCCTTTCCAATCTGCCCTCCTCTCTATCATCCCCCTGCTCTCTTGTCCCCTTCTCCCCCTATTTTCTGTAATAAGACAATTTCCATACCCAATTGAATGTGTATGTTATTCCTCCTTAAGCCAAATCCTATGAGATAAGATTCACTCATTCCCTCTCACCTTCCCCTGTTTCTCCTCCACTGTAAGAGACTTTTCTGTTTTTTTTTGTGAGATAATTTACCCCATTCTACCTCTCCCTTTCTTCTTCTCTGAGTATAATCCTCCCTCATCCCTTAATTTTATTCTCCAGATATGACCCCTTAATCTTCAACTCACCCTGTGCCATCTATCTATCTACCTGTACATATAATTTTTTTTCCTCCAACTACCCTAATACTGACAAAGGTCTCATGAGTTATAAATATCATCTTTCCATGCAGGAATGTAAACAGTTCAATCTTAATAAGTCTCTTATGATTTCTCTTTCCTGTTTACCTCTTCATGTTCCACTTGAGTCCTGTATTTGAAAGTCAAATTTTCTATTCAGCTCTGGTCTTTTCATCAGGAATGCTTGAAAGTCCTCTATTTCACTGAATGACCATTTTTTCCCCTGAAGGATTATACTCAGTTTTGCTGGGTAGGTGATTCTTGGTTGTAATCCTATCTCCTTTGCCCCCTGGAATACCACATTCCATGCCCTGTGGTCCTTTAATGTAGAAGCTGCTAAATCTTGTGTTATCCTGATTGTGTTTCCACAGTACTTGAATTGTTTCCTTCTGGCAGCTTGTAATATTTTCTCCTTGACCTGGGAACTCTGGAATTTGGCTATAATATTCTAGGAGTTTTCCTTTGGGGATCTCTTTCAGGAGGAGATCTGTGGATTCTTTCAATTTCTATTTTGCCCTCTGGTTCTAATATATCAGGGCAGTTTTCCTTGATAATTTCTTGAAAGATGATGTCTAGGCTCTTTTTTTGATCATGGCTTTCAGATAGTCCAATAATTTTTAAATTGTCTCTCCTGGATCTATTTTCCAGGTCAGTTGTTTTTCCAATGAGATATTTCACATTGTTTTCTAATTTTTCATTCTTTTGGATTTGTTTTACTGTGTCTTGATTTCTCATAAAGTCACTGTCTTCCAATTGCTCTATTCTAATTTTTAAGGAAGTATTTTCTTCAGTAATCTTTTGGACTTCCTTTTCCATTTGGCCAATTTTTCTTTTTAGGGCATTTTTCTCCTCATTGGCTTTTTGGACCTCTTTTGCCATTTGGGTTAGGCTATTTTTTAAGGTGTTATTTTCTTCAGTATTTTTTTGGGTCTCCTTTAGCAAGCTGTTGACTTGTTTTTCATGATTTTCTTGCATCACTCTCATTTCTCTTCCCAGTTTTTCCTCTGCTTCCCTTACTTGCTTCTCAAAATCCCTTTTGAGCTCTTCCAAGGCCTGGGACTGATTCATATTTTTCTTGGAGGCTTTGGATGTAGGAGCTTTGACTTTGTTGTCTTCTTCTGGTTGTATATTTTGATCTTCTTTTTCACCAAAGTAAGATAATATAGTCTGACTCGTTTTGCTGCTGCTTGCTCATGATCCCAGCCAATTACTTGAGTTTTAAACTCTTTGTTAAGGTAAGAGTCTGCTTCCAATGTGGAGAATGTACTGTCCCAAGCTTCAGGGGTTTGTACAGCTATTTTCAGAGATACTTGTAGGGCCCTGTAAATTTTCAGTTCTTCCAAGGTGGTATTATAAGAGGCGAGGTGTTTACTCCTTTCCTGGCCTGTGACCACAAGTATTCCTTTCTGTCCTGTAACTGTGAGGAGGGGTTTCTCTCCACGATTACTACAAGCTCCACCAAGCCAGCGCTCCTCCTCACCCCAGCACCACCACCCCAAACTGTGACCCAGATCCAAACACGGGCAAAGCAAGAGATTCCTTCCTCAGCACTGGCAAAGAGATCCCTGCCATCCCACTCTGATCAGCCACTGGATTCCGCCTCAGTCTGTGGGCTGGAAGCTCAGGAAGCAGCTGCCCTCTCTCCCCCCCCACCCCGGGCCAAGCTGTTGGGGAATGGAGCTGAGACCCCGCCAGAAACAGACTTTTCCCACTGACCTTCTAAGTTGTCTTTGGCATTAGTGGATTGAGGAGTCTCGAAATCTCCACAGCTGCCCATGACTCAGTCCTCTGAGGCCTGCTCCAGGTTCACTGCAGCCTGCGCACCCACACTGCACTGCTCCATGCTCCCAGCCCAGCGCGATACACCTTTCTGATCAATCATCCAGGTTGTCTTGGGCTGGAAATTTGTTTCACTCTGTCTTTTTGTGGGTTCTGCTGCTTCAGAATTTGTTTAAAGCCATTTTTTATGAGTATTTAGAGGGGTTTGGGGGACAGCTTAAGCAAGTCACTGCTTTCACTCTGCCATCTTGGCTCCGCCCCCCTCCTTAGGATTTTCTAAGTAAACCATAATGTGATCAGCAAATAGGGACCATTATTTCATGTTTGCCTGTCTTTACACTTTTAATGGCTTTCTTTTTCTTATTATTATGTCTGTCATTTCTAGAACTATATGAGGTAATTGTGGGGAAAAGTGGTCATCCCTGCTTTACTTCTGCATTTAATGGTAAAGTTTCTAGTACATTCCCCTAGTGTATGATGCTTGCTTTTGGATTTAGATAGATACTTTTTATGACATTAAATGCAATAGTCTTCTAAACTAGTTTCTCTGCTACCAGTTTGCTCCCTCTCTAATCTACAACTCCTACAGGTCTGATTAGGTCACTTCCCTGCTCAAAAATCATCATTAGCTTCTCATTGCTTATAGGATAAAATACAAACTTTCCAGCCTTGCACAATTTAATTCAAATCTACTCTTCCCGACTTATTTTCATGTACTGCCACTCCCCCATTCTAGCCAATTATGCCTACTAGCTGTTTTTCCATGACATCAATTTTCCTTCTCTGTGCCTTTTCATAGTCTATCCTCTATACTTATACACAGCCTCTCTCCACCCATATCTCTTAGAATATTTAGCTTTAGAAGAAAAATAAAACAAAATAAAACTCCCAGTAAACTTGTGCTTTCCACATAATACTTTGTGTGCTAATGAGCAAATTTATTTACATAAGGAAACCAAAAAGAAAATTATTTAAAATTTCATTTATTAGATATTTTTGTCATTCAAAACAGTATGACAGAGTATATAGATGCATAGATTATCTTAAAAGTTCAATAATAGCCAGTAGTTCTATTTAATTATTCAAAACTTGAATATCAAAACATTTGACCACAACAAAATTATTTAATACATTTATAAAAAGTGGTGGGAGTGTGTGCATAAATAGTTTCAGACCTGCTTTATAAAAATGTGTAATCTCTACCCACATACTCACTGAAGACTGGTGACTTCTCTAAAGTACAGTTTGAGGGCAAAAATAAGACAGATAACACTGTACCATAATATAACATTAACTGACTGGTGCTAGAACATTTATGGAGGCCCATTTGTCATACACAAGAATAACAAATAGGTTCATTATAGTAATTGCTGTGGCAACAAGTAGCAAAAATTTCATTTTTATGGAACACAAGGTACAAGAAGTAAAAGACTTTTCTCCAAACAAACTTGTCACCATGAAAAACTGCATTCAATCTGCAGGATATTATCAATATCCAATGCTACTTACTTTAAACATTTATTATTCTTGAAATTAAAATCAAACCAAACCCCCGTAAGACCAGTGTTCCACCCAATACAAACATTCACTGAATGCGGATTTAAGTGAGCACATGTTGTCTTGGATTATACCCCAAGGAGATAGCCACAGTGGGTCATCCTGGCCCCATTTGGGGACACCCAGGGCCTACCTAGAAGTCCCCTCTCCCTATGTCTTGCCAAGTTGCATGTTTTAATGTGCCCGTTACTATTTCTGAGGGCCTATCAGCACAAAATTATTACATACAGCCCTGTTGTACATCTTTTCTTACCTTGATCTGTGAATTTTAAAAATGACTTACAATCAATAAAAATATTAAGATACAAGATCTGTGCAAAATAGAAAAGCCTGTACAAACAGTAACAGTTGTCACATGCCAGAGAGAGAGAGAGAGAGAAGAAAAATAAAATAAGAAAGGTCTAAAAAGCCCTGAGTCAGTAATCTTGCAAAAGTGAGGAGGGAAGGTGTTCCAAATTCTTTCTAAACACCAGTAAAATATTTTAAACTGTTCAGTATTCAATTGCTTTTGTTTTTCAAGATAGGAGAGAGGTTGTGCAGTTGTTCAGTTATTTAGTTGATATGGCATGTCATCCAATTTAGAAAATGTTTCTTAATACTCAATTTCATTCAGATCTTCAGAAAATCCTGATGACTGCTGAGTCATATCTTCTATTTCTGTGAAAGAAAAACAAATAGAAGTGAACAATAATTATTTTTTCTATTGACAAAAAGAAACATCTAATAAGCCTGAGATCACTTTGCAAAATCCATTTCAATCAAACTTGTGTAATTAGGAAAAATAAATAAGTTTTACCTGTACAGGGTCCTGCCCGAAATTTAATGTCATCAATAGCAATATCACTTCTTATCGATGCACCCCGAATAGCTTCAAAAACAATCTGAAAAACAGTTCACATTGGATTTAAGAGTATTATGTATTTTTATAGAGAGAAAACTCACCAGGAGTTTGGTTGCTGACATTGAATAGAACAAAGGATGACTAGCACACCTGTTCCATTGGTTGACTGGACCCCTGATGGTGGATTTATGGGAAGATATGGTCTAGAGCCACATAGGATGGGCAGGTATGGAGAGCTTGTCATCTGGCCTTGAGTGAGTGCCCATATCAAAGAGATAACAGATTCAAAGGAATATTAAAGAAGATATATACATATGTAAATGGACAAACCAAGTAGAATTACATTAATTGATCAAGTAGGCAGGAGTACATTTGTCACGCTGAGCACTATGACCTCAGAGCTGGAGGCACTAGCAGAAAAGGGGATTAGTTTTACTACTCTAAAGATTCTGAGAACAAAATTGATTTGATGCCCAGGCCCTGAAAACAGAAATTGTAAAGGACTGATTTATTTTGCTAGTAATAAGGCTTCCAAGACAATGTCTAGTGAGCCAATTAATACCTCAGAGAGGCTAATGGTTAGCAAATCCTTCTCAGAAAAGATATGTGGTCTACACAGTAATAAGTAGCTGTCTCCTATTTGGGTTTGTTTATGATTTGAATTAAATATTTCAAAGGAATATAAATTGGGCAATTAATAAGCCTTTGAGGATGACTTGAAATTAATACGTCAAAAAAGTTTTAATGACAGACCCAGTGTAGAATAGCCAAAGTAAAAACAACAATGGCAGCAACAAAAACTCTGAAAATACTGTGCTGGGAAAGGTGAGAGAAGCCAAAGATTGATTTTGGTCCTGCAGAGATGCAGGAACTCAAAAGTCTAGGGCAGCTTCTGGAAGTCTCAGGTCTGCCATAATGATATGGATCCTAACCAGATAAGATTTTAGAAAGTATTCATCCTGGGGCAGCTAAGTGGCACAGTGGAAAGAGCACTGGCCCTGAAGTCAGGAGGACCTCAGGTCAAATCCAGCCTCAGACACATAACATTTACTAGCTGTGTGATCCTGGGCAAGTCACTTAACCCCACTGCCTAGCCAAAAAAGCAAACAAAAAAATGAATAAAAAAAAAAAGAAAGAAAGTATTCATCTTGGAAAAGGTGACCTGTGTGGGGAATAGGCTGGTTTTGTAATTGCACATTTGTTCTGACATATTTCAGGAGATCTTAGGTAATCTATCTGAATTCCTTGTATTAGTTAGGCAGCCCCAAAGCAAGTTCCCTTAGGAATTGCCCGATTATCCAGGAGAAGCCCTGGTTAAAAGGCTTGCTCATGTCAGCCTGATACCCACCCCAGTCTAAATCAAAGTTTTCCAGAGTGGGACTGGAATCATGCCAATGTAACTCTGTACTCTTTGGCCATGACCTGCCCGACTAGCCTATATCCATACAATGTGTCAGTTGATCAACATTACTGAGCACCAATGATAAGCAAGGCTATCATGTACTTTGGATAACTCCCACTGGGCTAATCAGAAAAAGTGAATGTACTCCCTAAGTAATTACATAGGCCCACTGTTTCTCTTGTTACATATGCGTGCTGATTATTAATTTTGTGTTTATCAAATGTTAGAGTAGCCTATTTTGCTACTGTAAATAAGCACTGATTCACAACCAAAATCTTGAAGCTCTAGGCTATGGAACATTTGTTAACAATAGATCTAATTGTTTTACATTTTAAAACAATTGAACCACATGCATTTTAGATATTTAACATACTATCTTGACTTGTTGACATTTACTCCACTTACGCTAAGTTAGATGGTCTAGAAAACTAAAGAAAAAAATGCAGAAATGTAAATGTATTCCTTGGAAATAACTTTAGAGTTTAAAACTCTGTTATAACTCAGTTTTATCACTGAGATTTAGTTATTCTGAAAGTATATCTAACTTAGGTGGTCTAGAAAAGTAAAGAAAAATATGCTGAAATATAAATGTTTTCTTGGGAAATGACCATACATTAAAAACCCAGCTTTATCAAAAGGATTTAGTTATACTGAAAGTCATAACAAGTGTCCGCTGTAGTCAGAAAAGCATGTACTCAGCACTAGTTTTTTGTTGATGTTAAATCATTTCTGACTCTTTGTGACCCCATTTGGGGTTTTCTCCGCAAAGGTACTGGAGTGGTTTGCCATTTCCTTCTCCAGCTCCTTTTATAGATGAGGAATCTAAAGGAAATGGGGTTAAGTGACTTTCCCAGAGTCACACAGCTAGTAAGGATCTGAGGCTGGATTTGAACTCATGAAGGTGAGTCTTCCTGATTTTAAGCAAGGTGCTCTATCCACTGTGCCACCTAACTGCCTACTCAGCACTAGTTGCTGTCAGGAAAAGTAAAGGATTCAAAGTGTACTAGCAATTTCAATGCTGTTTTCTCAGGTACCTAGATTTTTAGCTGTATAGTTGTACAGTTAATACTGGGAGAGAGCAAATTACTGCATATATATATCTCTGAGGGATGGATAGATAACTTAATTATTTAGACAAATTACTTTTCCTTCTTTTCAGTTAAAACCTGAGCTCACACACCAATGTTTAGGAAAATAATGTAACTGGAACAGTACAATGGTAATATGCAGAACGTTATACAATCTTTAAGTATGGATTTTACAGCTGGTGCTGCCAATATGCCCTGAGGTTGATGGAGGCACAATTTAAAACAATTGTCTTATTGGAGGTACAGCCTAGGTGTTTCAGAATGGCATTATCTCATATTTGACTAATTACCCCCAAGACACTGGGAAATGTTCTAAGCATGGGCAATACACTCAAGAGGACAGGAGAAGAAAAATGCAGACATTAACTCTCAGCTCTCTCTCTCTCTCTCTCTCTCTCTCTCTCAGTCCCAAGAGAAACATCAAAGAAATTTCTAGAGGGTCTCAAACAGTGAAGCCATGCCCTTCAATCTCTCTTTGCAAACAATCAAATTTACCAAAAATATATGTAGTTTCAGTCATTCTAATTACCCACTAGCTTCAGCTACCACCTCCTTACTACATACCAACAAGTATTGATAATGGCAGGGAATGCAATTCAGCTGTGGACAGATTAGCTTCTTCCCTTAGTTATCATGTGAATTTAACTAGCTGTTGTTTACTCTGGTGCTTCTAATTGCCATGATGCTGACACTGAGGCTTGAGGGATTGTGAGTTTTGAAAAATGGGGGGGGTGATATCTTTTATTCTTCTATCACTGTCATTTCTATATGTATGTTTTACTTCCTCTGTTACCCAAGAAGGTATTCCTTGTAACAAAGGAGAGAGAGAGGGAGAGAGAGAGAGAGAGAGAGAGAGAGAGAGAGAGAGAGAGAGAGAGAGAGAGAGAGAGAGAGAGAGAGAGAGAGAGAGAGAGAGAGAGAGAAAGAAATCCAGTCAGCAAAAATAACCAGCATATCAACCAGGTGTGATACCATTCCCCATCTCTGCAAAGAATGAAGGGTCGTGCATTTTCTCATTTCTCCTTAAGGACTAAGCATGGTCATAATTACAAAGTGTTCAGTTTTGTTACTTTTGTTCTATTTATATTGTTGTAGTTATTGTGTATGTGTATACATATATATATTTACATATATATTTATATACAGTTTTCCTGGTTTTGCTTACTTCACTTTGTACAGTTTACATCTGCCCAGTGCTCTTCTAAATGCTTCATATTTATGATTTTTGTGGCATAGTATTCTTCAATCTATGGACATCTATTGTCATTACTACAAAAAGCATATTTTTTTTGTATATTGGGCCTTCTTTGTCTTTTTGGCCTCTTTGTTATATATGCATGGCAGTGGAATCTCTGGGTCAAAGGGTAGGGATATTTCACTTGTTTTCTTTAATTCCAAATCTCATTCAAACAGAGTTGAATGACTGCCACTGAACAGCTCTGGCAACAGGGTATGTGTTGGTAGAGAAGCAAAGGACTACAAGAGCAGAATACTGCTCAGAAACTGTCAGATGAAGTCAACTGTGATATTGAACAAGAAGGAAATCAACTTTCTTTTTAGAAGGAAAAACCAAAAAGACCATCTGAGGGATATGAATTTGGAATTTCCTCAATTTGAGGCTCAGCTTATTTCATTTACCTGATGCTGCCTTTCACAGCTGTATTCAACCAATCCTCTTAGCCAGGTAATACTCTGCTCGCCTCTTCTTCGCCACAAGAGGGACTCTTCTCTATAACCCTCCATTTTCAAGTAAACATTTAAGAGTCCAGTTCCTGCTCCATACATGTGATAGAAAAATGTGAGGCAGTGCTTTCCAATGACTCCTCTTAGAGATGTTGACACCAGTTGAGCCTTTTGCCCATAAACCATATTAGATGCCTCGATGTACATGTAGTAACCTAAAGAGAGATACAAAGTCAAATACAGTCATAATAAATTAAATTATGTCCTTGCTTCACCCCATACATTCCTATGCAATAAACGGAGAGAAATGAATGCCTAGACTACAATATTGAAAAAGGATAGCACATATATGCAAAATAACATCTCAGAACCCCTTATCTCAAGAAAAAGATCTATTGAGAAAGCTTATTCTCATTACAGTTTAAGCTCAATTGCTTATAATACAGTTTAATTTGCAGGAGGGTAATTTGTTCACTAGGATATCCCCCCTACAACTGACAACTGAAATATCAGCTTTGTTCCTGCAAAAAAATTTTGGCCTTCTGATACAAATATTTATGCCATTAAATTCTCTTCTTTGCATTTGCAAAGAGGAAGAATTGAAATACAGGACCTTGCACAGCTTCAAGATTGATTTAGGTAAAGATGCAGTCAGACTAGGGGGAGATCGTAGGGTCTTTATTTAGGAAAAGGCTCTGAATAATACAGATTGTAGAATCATATGTTTTGTTCTGGCTTTAGAGATCATCTAATACAACCTTCTCATTTATAGCTGAGAAAACTGAAACCCAGAGGAGTGAAATAATTTGTCCAAATTTGCAGTATTTATTGCTTGTGATTAATGATTGAGATGTGTGAGACAGTTGTCAAGCTATTAGGACCCCTGCCTTAGTCAGGGTGTAGTTGTTGGGGGTGGTATACTGGGGCCTAGAGGAAGAAGACTGTAATGAAGAGAGCACTCTAGTTCCATAGTCTAGCCCCAGATGTAGTCAGAAGTTGTAGTACTGCATCCTGCAGGGACAGGAATAATAATAATAATGATAGCTAGCGTATATATAGTGCTTTATATATATTATCTCATTTCATCCTTTTTTCAACCCTGGGAGGTAGGTGCTATTGTTATCCCAATTTTACAGATGAGGAATTTGGGACTTAGAGAGGTCATACAGTATAATAAGTATCTGAGGCAGGACTGGAACTCCAGGTCCACTACTCTAGTCATTATGCCACCTAACTGCCTAAGTGCTTCTGGGTCAAGGCTACTGCTGCTTCCACTGAGAACAAGGACTGTCTGAACATATCTGGCATTTTAAAGACTTAGGAGGGACCATCTCAGGAGACAGGATTGATTAGAGAGAAGATACAAGTTGTCTAAGGCAACAATTGTCCCCAGATTCCTTTTGGAACAATAGAGTCCTCCTAGAAATTATTCCTTGGGCTTTCTCAGCCATGGGCCGTAGAATCTGCCTTACTAATTGCTCTGGTCCTGATATCTGGCTGTTGACTAAACTTCAACCAACCATCTTCACTGATCTCACCTTGGTTCCTATTCACGATGAACCCTCATGCCTACCTTAGCTCCCATGCCTTTACCTTTAGGCCTATGCCAGGAATCTTGCCTTTTGCAGTTCTCTACCTGTCAGACCATGCCTTTTACCTAAGCTTTGCTTCTCCACCTCTGTCCTAGCCTACCTATTCATGCTTTTGCTCAAGTTTCCACAAATCTTACTCTGCTTTGCTTGAAAGAGGGAATGAAAGGATTGAAAATATTTAGCCCAACCTTATTGTTAATACTTTGCTTTACACATAAATATTTGAGTCATCTGTTCTGAATCACTTATGAAATAATCCCTGGTTATAAGATTCTGAATTAAAATACACTGATTAAACAAATGGTAGATACAGATGTGCACTTATGAGTCCAAAAATTTATCCTACTTTTTGTTCTTGTACCTATGAGTCTTAGGTATCAGGCTGAAGACATAGTATAATGTTAGAGTTTTCCGTTTGTAATGAATCCAGTGGAATCCAAAATAATTCTCTTAAGTTGTGCTGACATTTATGACTAAGTGAATTTTGGAATTGTGGGGTCAGTAAATGCAGGGGAATATAAGGGTATAAGTGACCTTTGCAGGGTACTGTTGCTACTCTCAAATTAATCATTTTCCTCAGATTGCGTCTGAGAAATATGAACTATTTTTCCTATTCTGAATACATCTGGATTTTCCATAAGGCAACACTAAAATAGATCAGAATTTTAACCAAAAATAATTTTAAGGAAAATTATGAACCAGCCCAGAATATACTCCATGTGGTACAGTAGAAGAGTGTTGAACAGTGCTTAGCACAATGCCTTTGCTTAAAAATATTGATTGTAGGTGCTTAAAAATATTGATCGATTGGAGTTATGGGACTTGGGGGCAAACCCAGCTCTGCCACTTACTTCTGTGTTACTTTGGTTAAGTTAACATCTCTGAACCTCATTTACTAGATCTGTAAAGTTAGGGGGTTGGACTAGATGACTTTGTATCTTCTAAATCTATGATATCTGTTATCAGTGTAGGTAGAAGGAGGAAATTATTCCTGGTCCCTACAACAATGCTGATGCCAACCCATCCATGCTTATTTATCTTGTGTGACTTTTGTTCATTTGTGCTCCTAAATTTAGCATGGGGTCCACTTAGTGTGCTGGGACCATTCCTTGATTTTTGTTGATATCACAGGGTTAACAAAAAAGTATATGGGCCATTTGCTGCTTTTCCTTACTTGCCTGTCTTCTTTTTCACTTACATATTTCTTAGATGACATCTGGCAGCAGAGAGGACACTGAATTTAGAATCAGAAGACCTGGTTCAAATCCCACATCAGCTATCTACTAGCTGTATAGCCCAGGGCAAGTGACTTTACCCCCTCTTTATCTCAGTTTCTCACCTGTATTGAAAGAGTTGGATCATTGGCCTCTAGAATCTCTTCCATCGCTAAATCTATAATCCCATCATCCTTTACTCCTCTTGAAACACAGTCCAAATTTAGTATCTTTGGGGGATATATGTGCTTTTCATCTTTACATGCCTAGAAATATAATATTTCTATAGTGTCTCTCCCTCTAAAAAGCTTAGGGCTTTGTGGACATCCATAGCAGGCACCTACATTTTGGAAAGCAGACAAATGCCTTATGTGTTTAAGAGCTCTGCCACATTAAAGAAGCAAATGCCATTTCTGTCTCAGCAAACAAAAACTGTGGACCTGGGCCAAGAAATCTGATTGCTGTGAGTCACAGTGGAGCTCATAGGATCTAGCACACACAAGTTTGTAGAATGGATTATTAACTGGGGAAAACAAATTATTTTTCCTCTGAGGATCATTGTTTAACACTCAAGTCTGGGGCTGTAACAGGTCTATTTGGGATGAGGAAATTATTACAGGGTCTTGTCTGTCCTTTGTGTAGCAATTATAAGGCATGTTAAAGCACAAAGCATACTAGGAATTCACTAGGTGGCACCTGTTCCTGTGGCCACCTGGCTTCCATCTGCCTGAGTTGGGTACACAGCCTGAGTGCCTCAGGTCACTTTTTTTCCCTGTGAGCAATAAAGAGCTATGCACAGTCACTCTGGTGATATGGAGAATTCTTAAGAATCAATAAAACTTTCAGTTCACAGTTCATGCATCATAGGAGGAATAGCTGCAGGACAATCCCAGAAGATGCCCTTAACTCTGTTTTAAAATGCTTGTTGATTCCCATTAGCTATAAATCTTCCCAATGATGTAGTTCAAAGGGATTCCTAGAAAAACTTAGAGACAATGAGAGAAAATGATAGATTTCCAGCACAGGAGCTCAAAATATATTGTTATTTCATTTAGTGTAGGAGCTTAATTTAGAATCTTAGAGAGTTGCCTGAGACTCAAAGAGGACCAGTCATAGTCAGTCTGGCATCTGGACCATGGTCACACAGGTAGTATCAGAAATAGGATTTGGGGGGACAGTTAGGTGGCACAGCGGATAAAGCACCGGCCCTGGAGTCAAGAGGACCTGAGTTCAAATCTGGCCTCAGACACATAATACTCACTAGCTGTGTGACTCTGGGCAAGTCACTTAACCCCAATTGCCTCACCAAAAAAAAAAAAAGAAATAGGATTTGAACCCACATTTTCCTAACTTTAGGTTCAGAATTTCTATCTTTTATGCCATGTTGTCTCTCCTTATAATTAGAAAATAGTGTAGGATTAAATGTTTTTTTAATTTAACTTTATTCTAATTCCTAATTTTAAAATAGATTTTAAGTTAAATAGGCTTTATTAACACTCTAATATATTAGCAACAGCTCCATTACAATGATTTTCTGATTATAAATGGTATTCTGGTTATAAATGGGTAAAGATAAAAAGATAAAAGACACATTTACTATGTGTCAGATGCTATACCAAATGCTGCACATACAAATGCAAGCAAGCAATTCCTGTCCTCAAGGTTCTTATACTCTAATGGGAGGAAGCAACACATAAAGGGTGGTGGTGGAAGTAGATGGGGGATGTGAGTGCTCTTGAGGGCATGGTATCAAGATGGCCTGGTACAGGACAAGATGAGGTGAAAGTTCACCAATCAGAACTCAGCTTCTAATAGGCAGGAGAGAGGTGAAGATGATGGCCAAATTGTGGAAAGCATGGTGTGGAGATATGAAGAGTCAATTACTGAGAATTAGAAACACCTCTGACTTTGGTGCTATTATTTTGGAGGATAATTTAACTGCTTATGATCATGAAGACTTCTGAGTCACTGGAAGCACTACTAAATAAAGCTGTGGTTATCTTTCCTAGAAACTGTTTAAGAAAAGATGAACAGCTATCTTCCTGAGATGGAGTGAGAGTAACTTTACCCAGAAGCAAGGGAAAGAGAGATGATTTTTCAAGGTTCATTCATCAGTAAATTACCAGTGCTAAAAAATACAACAATTTCAATTCAGCAATTCAGCAATATTTAAGATACTTTCTAAATAAGACAGATGACTTTTTTTTTTGCCATGAAGCACCCCCATAAACATCAAGAGCACTACAAGAAATAATGGATGATTACAAAGCATTCTGGAAATATGGCACCATGTACATGCTAATAGGACAGCAATGAGTAATAAAATCTCAAGAACTGAGCTGAGAATGTTCTTCATTGCCTCATTAAACAAGGAGCATCTGGACTGGGAACTTCCTAATTCTGCCAGGG